CCGGTCAGGCCTCCGAACTTGACAAGCTTCCTACCAACCGAGCTACAACACGTCTGTCTCCCAGGATCCCGTCTGTGCCAGGAGATCCCCTGGGCAGGGCAGAGACCCTGGTTTTGCCCCCAGGAGACTCCAAATGGCTCCATTGCACCCCATCCTCGCCTCGTCTCTCTCTCCAGCCAAGCGGCGGGGGTGACCTGAGAGCCCCAGACTAAAAACATCACAAATAGCTACAGGAGATGAGAGGGAGAGGGGGAACCTTCCAACTGGAGTGCTGCCCTGAGGGAGGCCTGGAGGGCTCCCAGGAGGCATCTGGGAAACTTCTGGGCAAGGAAGATGAATCTGAATCCCGGGAAAGAGCTCTTCTCACAAAAGCAAGGTGCAGAGGTCAAAGGTTATAGGGTCAAAGGTCACCACACATTTGGAGACAGGGTACAGCCTGAGGCGGCCGGCTTGGCTGGAGGACTTAGCCCCTCTTCCACCTGTCTTGAGGAGCGGATGGCGGCAGTGGTCCCAGGACTCTCAGCTCCCGCTAGGCCCTCCCGGTTCTGGGTGGGACAGAGGCCCAGGCCTAGGAGCGCAGGAGAACCCTGGTCAGGCCAGGAGGTCCATTGGAGGAGGGGGCTACACCTCGCCGGCCTCCCCTCCCCCTCCCCAGTGGCACCACGAGGCACGCAGCCGCATATCACCCGTGCCAGCCCTCACCTCCCGGCAACGTCGCCGCATTCTCAGCCACGCCATCTGGCGTGCCCGTCGCTCCCCGGCACACTGCGGCGGGCGGGGGAGGGGGCAGCGGGGCAGGTGCCCACCCTGGAGCCAGGAGGAAGCGGCAGGTCCCCCTCCCCCAGCGGCCTTGGCGCTCGAGGTGGGGCAGGGGGCTGGGGAAGGGGATGGCAGGTGCTCTCCGGCCCCGGGTGGAGCTCGAGCATCCGAAGGGCCGGAGGAGGCGCCCCCCTGGGCAGTGCCAGTCGGTGACTCCTGTCTCCTCCCCCAGCACAGCGCCTGCCAGGAGCTCAGGGCCCGGAGGGTCCCCCCCTGCCCTTCCCCACACCTCAGGAGGAGACCGGGCTCCCCTCACCTGTCCACCCAGCCAGGGAGGCCCCAGGAGACCCATGTCTGGCTGCAGCCAGAGGGTGGACGCCTGGGTCTGACCCACCTGCTCCCTAGGCCCGCTTCCTTGTTCACACAGGCCACCTACCTGTCTTCTTTGGGGACACCAGGTGACTGGCTAGCTGTCCTTCGGAGGGTCAGAATAGAGGGGCGCATTTACAGATTCACGAAGTAATGATTTATTGGGGGAGAGCAAGGGTTGTACAAAGAGCAGTTTTCCAGCGCATTCTTCCTGTCCCCTGAGCAAGATTCCCCTAGTCTGCTCAGGAATGACCTGTCTCTCTGGCCTCTGCCACCCTCTGCCCTCTCTCCTCCTCCATGCCTACCTCAACCCCCTCACCCCTACCCCTCAGGCCCCAGCCAGAACAAAATGGCCGCTGCCCCTCTGAGGCAGCCATTTTAGGTGCCCAGACAGTGGAGTCCCTTGGGATGGGGCTATGTCTCCATGGGAACCTCAGGCCCCCAGCTCCCTGCTCCCACCCTGAGGTGTGGGCAGCAAAAATGGAAGTCTTCCAGGCCTGAAGTGCCCGCCACTTTCCTTTTCCTCTCAGAGACCTGGAGGGGACCAGGCCCCTCACCAACTCCCTTCCCCCAATGCCACGGGGAGGAACAGATGGCATCTCTGGGTGTCCTTCTCCTTTCGTCTCCTTCCTTCCATTTCTGGCTCTTTCTGTCTTTCCGTCACTGGATCTCTGAGCACAAAGAGGAGCGTGCATGTCCCGGCGTGCTAATGCCTGCTCGTGTGTATGTGGACACACGTGTTGTACCTCTTTGGAGCTCATGTCTGAGGCAGGCCCAGCCTACACCTCCCCCTGTTCCAGTTTCCCCCCGGTTTTTATTGTATCTTCTAAAAAAGCGAAAGTTGGAATGTGTCGAGTGAGAAAAACTTGCTCCATTTTCCTGAAGAAGAAAAGAGGGGTCAGGAGCAGGCCCAGCAGGGTGAAGTTCTCTGTACCCCAGGCCTGACCACCCCACCCCCTACCTCAGGCCTCTGCCTGCAGAAGCCCCTTAAGGAGTCCTTTCGGATCTGGAAAACAGAGAGCTCTAGGCAGCCTTACAGAGCGTTCCCTGAACAAGGTCTGCCCTCACCCGGAGGGCCCTATCAGACCCCAGTGGGCTTAACCCAATTCTTGATGTTTTCCCTGCCAAGGAAGCATTCATTCATTTATTCATTCATACCTTCACCTATTAATTTAACAAAACTTTGGATTCTTTGTAGACAAAACATTTTAATTGGGAATGGGATCTATGCAATAAATTAATAATATAAAGCAAGCTACAATTTGCAAAGTGTCTTAATAAAAATAAAGGCTGCCATTTATTGGAAGATTCTTTTATTGCTGGCCCTGTGCTGGCCCATCACAGTATTCAGTGTTAGAAACAGCCCTATAAAGGGGCAGGATGATAACCTCCATTTCATGGACAGGGAAATCAAGACTGAGAAAGAGTTTGCTTGTTATGGATTCAAACCCAGGGCCTTGGGCTCTCCAGGCAAGGACCAGCCCTGGGCAAAATCCCCACCCCAGAATTCAGTTGGCTTTTTTGTTTTTGTTTTTTTTTTTTTTTTGAGACAGGGTTTGTGTAGCTTTGGCTGTCCTGAAACTTGCTCTGTAGACCAGGCTGGCCTCGAACTCACAGAGATCCATCTGCCTCTGCCTCCCAAGTGCTGGGATTAAAGGCGTGCACTACCACCACCTGACCCAGCATTTTCTTTTACAAAGTGATGGTGCAGCCCTTTAATCCCAGCCCTCTGGAAGCAGAGGTGAGTTCAGGGCTAGCCTGGTCTGCATAGTGAATTCCAGGATAGCTAAGAGTACATAGTGAGAACCCATCTCAAAAACAGAACGAGGGGCTGGAGAGATGGCTCAGAGGTTAAGAGCAATGACTGTTCTTCTAGGGGTCTTGAGATCAATTCCCAGCAACCACATGGTGGCTCACAGCCATCAGTAATGAGATCTGGTGCCCTCTTCTGGTATGCAGGCAGAAAACTGTATACATAATAAATAAATAAATCTTAAAAGCAAAACAACGAAATGAAAAGTTGGTGAGCAGAGTTGACTGAAAACCAGAAGCTCCTATCATGTAGGCAACCCAAAACTGGAGGGGCCTTGCCAAGCCTCCTGCAAAGTCGGTCATCTTACTTCTGCCTCTGCCACGATCCTGCTTCCCAACTTCAGTTCGGCTGTCTGACTCAAGAGGGGCTCAACTTCATAATTCAGAGCTTGCAAAGAGGTTCTTTTCCTTGGAGACCACCAAGGCAGTCACGGGGTTAGTTTGGTTTTGCTCTCCCTGTCTATTCCTAGTTACATCCATTTCCCTGCACTGGCCTCTCTGTAAGGAAGATCAAGTGTGTTGCCTCTGACCTTTCAGCACCTGACCTCCAAGCACCCTGGACAACTCCAAATGCTCTTTCTAGAGACCTTCCATGGCAGTGTGTCTCTATGCAACACCCTGTTCAATCTGCAACAGCAGGTCCAGTCTTACCAGGCCGAGATCCCCTTGAGGAAGTTAATCTGGGCGAGACTAAAAGACATCCACCTGGATTGAGGGATTGGAGGGGAACCCCCCTTTCTTTCTCTTTGCTTTGAGCCATTCAGAGTGTGCTGAAGTAGACCAGGGGACAGACCAGAAATTTGGGCCTGAAAGCAGTACCTACCTGAATCCAGAGTGGCCAGAGTCTCTATCCCTGGCCGTGAGTACTTGCACACACACACACACACACACACACACACACACACACACACACACGTTGTCTCTCTGAATCCAGAGTGGCCAGAGTCTCTATTCCTGGCCATGAGTACTTGCTCTCACACATTGTCTCTTTGAACAGGGGTGTTTCCAGTTTCTGCACCACACAGTGAGAAGCAGGGGTGGGCAGGTATGGGTTCTTACCTTCAACCTGTACCATTTACATCTGTGTCTGGCATGCTAAGAGAGTTGAGAGGGGAACTGTAAAGTAAAATAAAGCATCCATTTCCTATCTCCCTTAGCAAGACACCTGCCTGGCTCACCCCTGGCCTCTGCTTTTTGTGTTTTCTGTAGGGCAAGAATGTTTGGGTCCCATCTAGGAACTCTAGGCTATCCCCAATCAGCCATATCCTCCCTTCAGCTAACCAAGAGCAAGCCATTACCTGGCAAGGATTAGGGATAGTAAGGACATAAGGAAGAGGAAGAGGAAGGTTTGTGGGTTAGGAATTCAGATCTGTGCCTAGTCCCAGATGGGGGACACATGGTTCATCTCCAAGTTCCTCCCCATCCCAGCATACATATGCCCTTGACATCCAAGGAAGCATCTCCTATGTAATGACTCCGCAGATAGACACACATGTCCCCACAGACACACACACGCCCATGCAGAGAGACAGACACCCAGGCAGGCAAATCTTTTTCCCTTTCTCTGTCTTTCCCTTGGTTTGAATTTCGTTCAGCCACATATGTTGTGTGTGCATGAGGGTGGGTGGGGGAGGGGCAGACAGGGATGAGGAATGGCATAATGCCAGCATCTACCTATGGGGCTTGGGTCAGGGATGCCCCCCACACCCACCCTGGAAGGAGGCCTCAGCTGTCCCTTTGTGGTGGAGGGGACTCTCTTGGGGAGTGGGAGTAAGCACTGAAGTCCCTTCTCCGTACTCCAGAGAGTCTGGTTCTGACCCACCTTAGGGACCAGGAAACAGGGAAATGGACAGATCAAGACCCCGGAGAGAGTCTAGAATTGGCCGCCACCACAAACCTCCAATTCCCAGACTTGCTATCCCATTGTTCCCATATGGGGGGCTCTATATCTGAGGGGGGGCAAATCCTCCCACCTCCCTCTCAATCCCTGCTTTCCTTGCGTTTGGCGGGGAGGGGAGGGCGGCAGAGATATTTATTTATTTCCTTTATTTATTTAATTTTTTTTTTTTTTGGAGTAGAGAGTGACAGATGGCGGCGGGTCCCGGGGGAGCCGGCTCTCCCCCAATGCAGACGCATGCCAATCACCGTCTCTCATGTGATAGCTGCTGCCCGTGACGTGCCAAGCCCATATGGCCTGGCATAGAGGCTGGTACCCCGCCTGGTAGAGATGCCACACTCGCTCCGCGGCTCGCATGGCGCTCTGAAGACGCCGGCGCCCGCCGCCTTGAGGAACCGCTGCCCCCGCTCCCTGAAGATGGGGGAACAATGAAATAAGCGAGAAGATTCCTCTTCTCCCCCCTCTCTCTCTTGCCCCCTCCCCCCTCCCCTCCCCTCTCCCCTTGACTCCTCTCTGAGGTAAGTTGTCCGAGAGGGAGCTAGATCTGACCTGCCCATTGGGAGGGGGGCGCTGCTTCGGACATGAAAGTCCCCCAGATTCCCCATTCCTGGGACTCTACCCCCTCACTGGTTGGGCATGGGCGCCCTGGGTTCTCTCTCCCATTGGGGTCGCAGCTCAAGGGGCTGCGTTGGGAAACCTTATGCCTAGGGTGGTCTGGGGGGCAGGGTCATGAGGTGCACGAAGAGGCGAAGATGGGGACCCCCGCCCCATGACTGTCCCGAAGGAGGAACCTGCAACCTTTCCCTGTCACCAAAAAAGATAAGCAAACAAACAAATTTGGATTTTTCCCCATGGATCCCAAAATACAACGAGATCTGAAGAGACGTGTGGGAGGGAGGCAGTTCGAAGGGGGGAAGGGGGTCCCTGACCGTAGGGGAGACGAACAGGGTTCGCTTCTGGGTCTCCTCCCCACGCCTGGCTTCTTCAGTCCTCGCCACCCGGAGCCGGCTCCGGGAGACCCGGACGCAGCAGCTAGAGGAGACGGTGCTCCGGGCGTCTGGAATTGGGGCTGCGGGGGTGGGGGCCGGGCCGGGGGCGGCGCGCGGCCAACTTGCAAATTGGATTAGGGAGCGTGGGGGTGAGAGGCACCGGAGGGCAGGGGGAGCCGGGCCGAGGGGCCCGGGCCGCGGAGCCAAGGAACCGGGCAGCTGTCCCCACGGCGGCCGCCCAGCTTCTCTCCATCACCCGGAGAGAGCAGGCTTTCGGGCGAGAGCACCGCCTCCCCGGGCAGAGGAACCTGGCCCTTTAGCACCCCACCCGGTCCACGCTCTCTGGGACCCCGACACCGGCCTGGAGCGGCCTCCTTTGCGGCCAGGGGCGGAGCCGGGGCCCGGCTCTGGGGCGAGGGCCTGGGCCGCGGAACCCCGCCGGCTGCCGGGCAGGGCTGGGCCGGCTCTGGGCGGGGCAGCGGGACGTGGTGGGCATTGGGGGCCCCTTGGGCTGGAGCGCGCGCCGAGACTCGGTGGTGGTGGCGGGTTGGTGGGCCGTGGTGACCCTGGAGCGCCCCTCACTCTGTGTTGTCTGTCTCCTCGCCCCCGGGGCACCCTCAGGCACCATGCTGACCCGCCTGTTCAGCGAGCCCGGCCTCCTCTCGGACGTGCCCAAGTTCGCCAGCTGGGGCGACGGCGACGACGACGAGCCGAGAAGCGACAAGGGCGACGCGCCACCGCAGCCTCCGTCTGCTCCCGGGTCGGGGGCTCCAGGACCCGCCCGGGCCGCTAAGCCAGTGTCCCTTCGTGGAGAAGACGTCCCCGAAGCCACGTTGGCCGAGGTCAAGGAGGAAGGCGAGCTGGGTGGTGAGGAGGAGGAGGAAGAGGAGGAAGAGGAAGGGCTGGACGAGGCTGAAGGTGAGCGGCCCAAGAAGCGCGGGCCGAAGAAACGCAAGATGACCAAGGCGCGTCTGGAGCGCTCCAAGCTGCGGCGACAGAAGGCCAACGCGCGGGAGCGCAACCGCATGCACGACCTGAACGCAGCGCTGGACAACCTGCGCAAGGTGGTGCCCTGCTACTCCAAGACGCAGAAGCTGTCCAAGATCGAGACGCTGCGCCTGGCCAAGAACTACATCTGGGCTCTCTCGGAGATCTTGCGCTCCGGAAAGCGACCGGATCTGGTGTCCTATGTGCAGACTCTGTGCAAGGGGCTGTCGCAACCCACCACAAATCTGGTGGCTGGCTGCCTGCAGCTCAACTCTCGTAACTTCCTCACAGAGCAGGGCGCGGACGGCGCCGGCCGCTTTCACGGCTCGGGTGGTCCGTTCGCCATGCACCCGTACCCGTACCCGTGCTCTCGCCTGGCGGGAGCACAGTGCCAGGCGGCCGGCGGCCTGGGCGGAGGCGCAGCGCACGCCCTGCGGACCCACGGCTACTGCGCCGCCTACGAGACGCTGTACGCGGCGGCGGGTGGCGGCGGTGCCAGCCCGGACTACAACAGCTCCGAGTACGAGGGTCCGCTCAGTCCCCCGCTCTGTCTCAACGGCAACTTCTCCCTCAAGCAGGACTCGTCTCCCGATCACGAGAAGAGCTACCACTACTCTATGCACTACTCGGCGCTGCCTGGCTCGCGGCCCGCGGGCCACGGGCTGGTCTTTGGCTCGTCGGCCGTGCGCGGGGGCGTCCACTCTGAGAATCTCTTGTCTTACGATATGCACCTTCACCACGACCGGGGCCCCATGTACGAGGAGCTCAACGCGTTTTTCCATAACTGAGACCTCGCGCCGACCCCCTTTCTTTTTCTTTGCCTTTGCCCGGCCCCCTAATCCCAGCCCCGCGAGCTCGGGGGCTCCCACCGACTCCAGCGCCAGGCGCGCGGGGCGTGGGCCGCGGGTTCTGCGGCTCTCTAGGGCTGGCGCGGTCTCTTACCTGTGGGTGGCCCGTCCCAGGGGCCTCGCTTCTCCCTGGGGACTCGCCTTCTCTCTCCCAACGGGCTTCCTCTTCCCTTCTCCAGTGGAGTGCTTCTCTGGGGACCTCCCTCCCGGCTCTCCCTGGAGACTCCTTCCGCATTCCCAAACTTGGGTTTTCTCTCCCCACCTCCCAGTAGGCCATAAGGCTTTGGTGAGGGGCAGCTGAGTTTCGGGATAGTGTCTCCGCTTAGGAAACTTTTAAAAAAGACACTGAGCTGCCCAGGCCGAAAGGAGTTGGTATCTCTTCCTTCTCGAAGAGGGCAAAAGCCAGGGCGTTCAAACGCCTTCACCCCAACCCGAATCTCCGCGTTTTTTTTTAATTTTTATTTTGGTGGGAGGGGATGTGGATTGAGAGAAAAGAGAGAGGCCAAGCCAATTTGTAACTAGAATCATGTTTCCTTTTCCCTTTTTAAAAAAAACAAATATACAAAAGAAAAAAAAAAAAAGCTAAGAGGCGACAGAGGCCGAACTCAGAGTCCGGATCGGAGAGAAAACGCAGTAAGAACTTTTAGAAGCAATAAAAGGCAAAATAATAATAATATTAATAATAAATACTACCAATAATAATTTTTAAAGAGACACAAATATCTATGCAAGAAGGTTCTGACTGAGCCTAGCAGCCCGGCCCGGGATGCCCCTTGGGTCCGCTGGCTGCACCGCCCAAGCGCGGATCAGTGCACTTTGGTGAAGTGGGGGCCTGCGCCGCCCCTCCCCCCCAGGTTCTTACAATCAATGACTCGGAGATTTGGAGCCCCAGTGCCACTGCCCTCCCCCACCCTGTCCCGTTGTGCGTCATACTGTTTTCTAAAAACCTGTTTCCAAATTTGTATGGAATGGCAAAATGTTGGGGGTTCGGCTTGGGGAGGGAGGGTTTGCATGAGAGACACACACGCACACCACACCGCACGCACACGCAGGCCCGACACGGGCGTCCGGGGACAGATGGAAGTGAGTCTCCTGGCTCCTCCTCTCTACGGGCACTCCGGTCCCTCTTAGGTGAAGGTGGAGGAGCCCAGACCTGGGGGCAGCCCTACCCCTGCCCAGACTGTGCCTCTGTGGGCACCAAGCTCCTGGTGACTTCTGGTGGCTGGAGAGGTGTTTTTTTTGTTTTGTTTTGTTATTGTCGTTGTTGGGGGGAATTTTTGTTGTTGTTGTTGTTGTTGCTTTTGTTTTTTGTTTTGTTTTGTGTTTTGGTTCTAGGCTCCTCCTGACTTTTGTCATCCAGTGATCTGGGAGAACTGAGGGCCCCTTTTGGAGATTTCCGGCAAAAGAGGCAACAGGTGAACCTCTCTGCTCCAGAGGCAGGGAATCAGGCACCCAAACACTCGATGCAAAAAACGCAAACCCACAGGCGACACACCCCACACACACGCAATTTTACCTTCCTCTTGTAGCGAAGATGAAACTCCCGTCGGACACCCGAAGTGCATTGCGTGTTTCTGTTGAGTTTAATGACGATTAATAAATATTTATGTAAATGAGATGCAAAGCAGACCCGGTTTCTCACAGCGGCCTCCTTTTACGGGTGGGGACAGGGATTGATCTGGGACTGAGGTGATGGAGGCTATGTCAAGCGACTGTTCAGAAGCCTGAGAGAATGACTGTGGACATTCCTGGGTGGGGCTTCCAAACTGCAAGGCCTTCGCACACACCCAATGGGCTGATAAACAATCACACTTGCTGCCCCTTCTAGGCCCCACCCAGATTTACATTGTACCCAGCACGAAGCACCCCTGTGGTCTGCTTGCTTTCATTCAGCTCCCAAACACACTCAAGGATCTTCTTTGAAAACAAAACATTTTTCAACAATGAAAAAAATTATCAAAATGGGACCATCCACCATCTCACAACCCCTGGCTTACTGTCACACACACACACACACACACACACACACACACACACACAAAGACAAGTAAGTGCAAATAATGAGGACGCTGAGGAGGCAGACATGGATTTTCTTGAATTAAAAAAATAAGATCATGAGGATAAAATATCAATGGAGAAATCTCCTTTCTACCTGAAATTTGTGTTTCAGTGGGCTTAAAGGAACGAATTTTTCTGGTGTCAGGGATATTGATTTTTTTTATTATGGATAAGTCTATGAGGTGGCTGGATCTGGAGAGGGACCCTGGTTAAGGACAAGACCTAACCATGAGCAAAAGGAAGCAGCACCAATTAATGCCTGCGCATCCTCCTTCCCTGCTTCAGGAGAAGAGAAAAGAGGCTCAGTGGAAAATACATAGGAAGACCCTCTTTTACTCAGACCCCACTTTCTCCCCCTCTAGCCCCTGGACGCAGAAGCCGCTAGTTTGGAGTAGACTTTCCCCCAAAAGATGCCTTCTCCTTCTGAAATATTTGAAATTCAAATATTTTAAAACTCAAATCCTAAAACCCAAGGAGACTTAGATAGGATTTCCCTAAAGAAGCCACCCTTGGTGCTTCCCCCCCCCCCCAAAACACCATCACTCATTTTAGGATTGAAGTGAGGTTGAATGCAGTATTGTTCAGGGTTGAGGTCAGACACACTACGCTAAGGGCTCCGAGGGAGCGAAGAAGGAGGAAGAGAGAGGTGGAAGTCTAGATGTCAAGGGGCTCAGAGGAAGCTGTAAGTGTGCTCAGCGATGCCACTAAATGCCCAAACTTAATCTTTAGTCTTCTGAATAAAAACAGTGCCCCCTCCCCCTTTGCCTCTACGCAGAGGGACAATTCCAATTCCGGAGCTGTCCACTCCACGGTGCTGACTGGTCTCTAACATTTTTCCCTTCTTGCTGCCTCAGGAGGCCAGAGCCTGGAACAGCAGAGCAGAGCCCATTGGAATTCTCCTGCAGGGAGACTTCCTAGGAGACTTTCATTGTTAATTCTTTTAAAACGTTCACCACATTCTCTGGGTATCTCTCAGGACCACCTCTCTAGAGTGAGAGTGAGCCCTTTGTCATGGGATTCTTCCCTGTGGGTGGCTAATGAGATCTAACAGATCTCTGAATCACTTTTATTCTTTAGAAAAAGATTTTGGTCCATCTTCTCTGTCCTCCACTTTGGTGGAGAATGAGAGCTTGCAAGATGCACATTCTAACCCTAACCTGAAGGAGCTGGTCTGTGCCTAGTGATGGGCAAGGCTTGGCAGGGGCATTTGGAAGAAAAGGAATACCAGGGTGTGATCCTTGTCTTGCCCTGGGAACAAGGTTAATTGGGCTTCTCTCCCACTCAGCTGGTTTCCCAGAACTTGCTCTGAACTCCAAGCTGGGCAGCATCCAGGTGGCTTGGGGCCGGATGTAAAGGACCCCTCCACGTGGCTCCTCTGGCTAGAATACAGACTCCTCTACATAGATCTTCCAGCTACCTCACACTGCTTTATTCTATTCTGAAGCCAGATTCCAGCCTCCTTTGAAAGATGATGATGACTCTGGGGCCCTTGCATCTATGGGTCAGGCCATGTGGGGATGCAAGGACTCTTTGGGGGGCAGGAACACTGGATCCAGTGTTCCCCTGCTTCTAGTGAATGCCTCCAGCAGCCAACTCCAATTCCTGACCTTCCCCCATGCTCCCTGCACTCTGGCTGACTCCCGCCTCCCACCACCACCCTCCTCCCCAACACAACACTTAACTGCCCTGGTGAGAAGGGAAAATGAGCAGGAGAAGAAGATGTGCATGGACACTCGGCCCCAGACGCCCCCTCACAGATCTCTTTCTCTCGCTTGGCTTGCCTGCACACACATCCAGAGAAGCTCCAGGAACAGAAGGAGGGGGGAGGTGAAAGGGCGCTGGCATGGCTTGGGGCAGGGTGGTGGGCAGGAGCAGAAAGTGTAGAGAGGATTCTTTTCTTTCCCTAGCCTAAGCAGCAGGCTCTCCTAGCAGTCCACACCCTGCTCACAACCACCCCTGGACTGCCCAACCCCGTAGCTGTAGCCAGATCCAATCTGCAGGCTGATTTCTCTTTGCATTTTCCAGCCCCCATCCCATGCCTAGCATTTGAAAGTGGAAGAGAAACAGAGATACTTATCTGGTTGTGATAGCAAAGGAATGTGTAACTACTTCTCCCCTCACCATTTAATTCCACCCTAACCACCATCTGGATGGTGAGTCACTGTCCACCAGTGAAACTCCAGCTCTGATTTTATCACCTAGGGTAATAACAGGATAAGCCACTGGGGAAGGCAAGAAAGCTGAGTCCTACCTGGACCAGTACTGGGAAGCCCTCCACTCCAGCTCCCTCCTCAACAGTGTGCCAGCTTGTCTTCCCTCCATAAATCCAGAGCCACCAGATTCAGGATCTGGGGACAGAGGTCAGAGATTTCGTTCTCTTTTGCCCAACCTTGATCTCCTCCTCTTCCTGGAACCTTTAACAGGAAGTCACTTGTTCCAGAAGCTTCCATGGATCTTCCATGGACTGCAGTACTAAACATGACTCCAAATCACACAGATTAGTTTTCCAGGTAGAAGGGGTGAAAGACAGCCTCAGTCTTGACCTCCACTCCCAAGCCTGGACCACAGGACAACAGAGGGCCAGAGTAGCCCAAGGTTCCATTCTGACCAATATGGACAGTTCAAACAATTCAAAGGGGAAAACTGAGTGGAGACCAAGCCTGCACTGTGGGGACTGTCCAGTCCAAGATGCTAGCTGTTTTCTACTTTTTTTTTTCTTCTGAGATTGGGTAACTAGGTATTGGCCACTGGCCTAGAGTGAAGGTGACACCTGGCCTCTGAGAGACCTGGAAACCCTGCTCTGCCCTGGTTCTACATCTTGATATTTATTTATTTATTTATCTGCACCTAAGCCTTCAAAATTTTTCCACAAAGTTTCCCGAGGTGAGCAGGGTGCTCCTGCCTCAGGAAGACTATCTTGCTGTTGGAACTTTATCCTGAAACCCAGGGTTCAGGGTGGCAGGCCTTGCACAGGGTGGAGAAGGGCCATCACTGGGTAGGGCTCACCTGGGGGAGGGTACAGAATACGTGCAGGGAGGGGTCAGTGTTGCTCTTTCCTAGTCCCATACGGAGAGGGGAAACTAGGGAGTGCTGGAGGAAGAGGATGAGGTTCCACTTTTAAGCACTAGCAGTGCCAAGAGAGATGGGGCACATCTTCCAGCTGTGCCCCTGGATATGTCTCTGGTGCTACCAGTTCTGTTTGCTCCCACGCGGGAGCCCAGCTTCTCCGAGGCAAACTGGGGGTGCACACTTCACTTCCACACCCAGAGCATGTGCCTGGTGTTTCGTGATTCCAACGTTCCTCAGTCTCTTGGCCTCTCAAGCCCTGTTTGTACCTCTTTCCTTGTTCCTCTTTTTGGAATTAATTGAATTAGGAACTGGTCTTTCTGGGGTTTTCCCGCCTCCTGCCTCAGGTTGAGCTGACCAGGAGGCCAAGACTGAGAGGTCAGGTCCCACTGGGGTCTCAAGAGCTCACAAACCCTTTGGGGACCCGCATGCCGGTTCCTATCCTCAGCCAAGACTTTGCCAAGGGCACAGCTGGGCGGGGTCTGGGCAGTCCGCCCGGCTTGGGACATCTGTTCTAGCCAGAGTCGCATTAAAAGCGAGTAGTGGGGGTAGGGGGGCTCAGAAACAACCCCTCAAAACCCAGGTCTGTACATGCC